GCCTTCATATACTACATAGATTTTTCTGCATGGTCCATCCAACATGTTTCCAAGCAAACACCAACTTTTTTGTGTCTTGAAGCACTTTTTGCATTAACATGTGTTCGATTCTATGCCAAGTCAACATTGAAACGGCGAGCCAGCCGCTAAGTTGGCAACCCTCCTAGCCGAAGCATCCCAACCGCACCTTTGGATTCTTGGACGGCAAACGACTGAAATTGGTGTTCTTATGCCCACCGGCAGGAACGATGCACCCATGGAAGGTCCATCACCAATAAGCATTTCCCGAAAACTAACATAGACCCTGACGTCCTGGTCACCTGGAAGATGGTTTTCCTCTACCAGTTGCCAACCAGTGGTTTTCAGGGTCCATGTTAGTTGGTTTTCACCCCAGTCGTCCCCGACTGGGTCGGACTGTGTAGGGCAGTACGTCGACCCGGAACTCGTAGCTCGGGTTCAGGGACTCGATATATAGCTGTGTTGATGGGGTCAGAGGTCCTATTTTCGGTACTGGGTCAGGTCGGGTCCATGTAGATCCCAAACACTCCATGGGACTGCCATAGGACTGCCGCCCCATTGACCCCTCTGGCACCACCCCAACTGATCGGCATATATGGCATACATGGAGTGTCTGGGGATTGCTTCCCACTTCCGGTTCGATCGGCACCGAAGAAGGGCCCCACAACCGTGCCGGTGAGGGCAGCTCCACGTGACGCGAGGAAGGCAGCGGCGCACCAGCCGAGACAAACGGATTTTGAGACCCAACCACAACCCGGACCTGGGACTGCCATATCTGCCGCGAAACGGCCAGGGGTGGTGCCAGGGGGGTCCATTGATCGGCACATATGCTGTACATAGAGTGGTTTGGAGAACCAATCCCTCCCCAAATCCCTTCCGCCACTTCCCTCCCAAAAGGCTCGGTTTTCCCGGTCGAATCCACGGAGCTCCTTCCTTCCTGGGTAGCAGTTTGATGTGTCCATCGGAAGAACACATGAAGAGCCACTGGATCTGAGACTCAGTGAGGCGTCTGTCTTCCATTCGAGGGCTCATTCCCTACGGACGTCCAGTCTGACCCAGGTGCAAGACAAGTCTTTTACCTCCTTAAGTCTTAAGTAGTGTTTTTGTATGACGACGTCCAGCAAAATGAGGTCATTGACCTGTAGAGGTTACCCTCCCTGGAACTCACATGGTTACGTGGAGTGAACACCCCCTGTTCGGTATGCGGAAGATGGTCTTCCAAACTCGGGGCCATGCCATGCCAACCACGTTGGCTCATGTGGACGTTCCAGGGAGAGTTGGCCATGTTTGTCCTAACAAGTCTGTTCATGTTTGCATGACGATGTTGGTGGGACACCCAATCCCCCACAATTTCGGTGACCGCTGCCTGGCCCCACACGTCCCGTGAAATCTTATGATGCCTGCTGGAGCTCAACAGGCACATCGAAAAACGCACTGCAAGCGGCACCTGGATCCCCAAAAGGAGAAGCGGCCTCAAACAACCTCAACAAGCTCCCCAGTCCAGTTCCCACCATTAGCTGCTAGGGAAACAGAAGCGTCCGCCCGTTTCCATAGCCCCAAGAAAATTCCAGGCATAACTGGCATGCAACCGTGCAATACAATGTAGTCAAAATTCCTGGAGAAGTCAGCATGTTGAAGATGTTCATGAAGGACGGGCGTCGAAAAATCGTCTATCCATGCCTTTTCCATACAAACATGGAGTGCTTGGGTTTGGGAATGTGACACATGTTCCATGCGTCCGGCTTTCTCCCGCGTCCGGCTTGGAAGGCCGTTGGGGTGGGCATATGCGTTCGTCTCAGGAGGTGGGGATGAGTTGAAGTGGGTACAATCAAACACCGGAACCGAGGAGGTAATTAGAGCCCTCGGGTCAACAATGATCATGAAGTAGAAAAACATACCAGCAGTCACAAAGGGGTGCTTAATGGAAGTTAGGAGTGCCGATTGTCCACTCACTTGGGGACTAAACACCACCCCTTTGTGAGTGACTCCTGGTAGAAAAACAATCTCAGACACTCCATGGGACTGCCATATATGCCCACATTGACCCCCAAAACCACCCCTGGCCTGATCGGCATATATGGCAGTCCCGTGGGTCTTGTCTGGGAATAGTTCTTTGTTAACCAAGACCTTCCCGGTGAACCTTTTGAGATCGTAGGGCGCAAAAAAGGCTGTCAGAAGGCGGGATTTAGCCCCTTCCACTTCGGATCCACAAACCTTCTCAGAAGGTGATTGGAGACACTGATATGTAGGTTTGGAGGGTCCAGTCGTAACTTCTGAGAAGGGATGTGGATCCCTAGCATATAGAGAGGGAACATGTGTTTGGTTTTGTGTCTTGACCGGCACCCAAAGCGGAGAGACCCGCACGGTTGCGAGAGACCGCGCGTTCGCGGTACCGCATGGCAGGCATCGTCCAGGTGTTCGGAAAGAATCATTCGGCGGCAGCGTACATGCCATTCACACCGGTTTCTTTGTTCTTTGCTGGGCTGAGTTTTTTGGCCGAAGAAGACATCAGTTCACTGCCTCACCTGTTATGTTGTTAAAGCAGCCTTAAAAGTAGGAGCCTGAGTCTGGTGATACTCTTGGAGCTGGACCATTCCCTGGGGCTCCAGTCCTACCGAACCTGAGGACTGGGGGGCCCGGTGGGACTGAGAAGGTCCGACTGGAGCCCCAGGGCTGCATGTTACCCCACCCAAAATGACCCCCAATGTACCTGGAGTCGACCCGGAACTCGTACCTCGGAAAATGGATACTAGTACCTGCTTTGATGGGGTCATGTCCCATCTTCTAAGGTACTTTGAGGGTCCGGGTAGGTAAATCTTCCAGTCCCATGGATTGTCTGGGAACTGAAGTCCTCCAGGTCGTTAGGGGTTGTTCGTTGCAGCAAAGACCACCGCTCGCTCAGTCATCATATGGGATTCCCGGCTCACCAGTAATGGCCTGAAGACCGAACCACCATGCCCTACAGGTCTTACGGATCTCATTGGGCTGGATCCGGTCATCCAATACCAGTACTCGATGAGGTCCAGGACCAGGTCGTGCCAAAGGGTTTTACAGTACTACAGCAGATCCTTCCCGGACTCTTTGAATGGTTGATGAACCGAACACACGATTCCCCATGCCAGGCGTTTCACCTCTACTGTACAGGGAAAACCCAAAAACCATCGGGGTTGGAAGCATTGATGATCTACTCCCTATCAACCCTTACCAGTGGCAAAAATGGAAGCACATCCTAATAGGCTGTGGAAGTTTTCGGCAGGCCATTGGTTTCGGCAGGAGTTTAGTTATTCGGTTATTCGATTTGCTGATTCGGAACCACCCAGACGCTCCAAACAGCCCTTGGTCCCTCAAAACCATAGGGATTTGAGGGTCCGACCCCTGCATATGAGGGTCCAGGAGCATCTCCCACACGGGACCCTAAAGACCCTCCGTTCCAGGGACCGCAGCCGGACTTTCAAAGCGGGTTTGGTTCGGGACCAGGAGTCGGGCTGTGACAGGAGCGTCTGGGATTTCCGATGATGACATTGAGGGGGCACCTGTTCAACCATGGAGACAGTGCCGACAGTGTGTTGGCAACAGCATTTGCCCCTGAACCGGGTGGCCAGGGAAACCTGATCAAAACCAGGCTGTTCCTGGCATGGTCCTCCGTGCGCGACCGGACTTCGGGCGGACCGGCTACCGAGCCGGACCGGCTAAAGCCGGGTTCGGTTCGTTCGTGGCACAACTGCGCCCCCACGGCATGTGACCCCATGTGTTTATTTTTTCCGCATGTGAAGGGGTAGATCTTCCAACTATGCACCATTTCTGCCTAAATGGTCTCGTTGTTGAAAAGGCATCAATTTTGCACAGGCGAAAGATCTAGGTCTACCAGGCTTCCCCGTGATTTGCGGAGTGTTGATATTGCCCTGGGACTCAAGTGATAAACCAGGTGTGCATGAGCCACTTCCGTGGTATCCTGGTAGGCGTTTGGAGACTAAAAATGTCACAGGTGGTGACCTGTTAGTTAGAGTGTCCTGGTGTATGGAATACTGGAATATTCCATGTAGGCCCTGCAAGAAAAAGACTGGTCTGACTAGCCCTTGGGCTGCAAGTGCCTTCTGAAAAGGTGTTTGGGTGCCGGGAGGCTCCAGTCGTACCGAACCTGAGGTTCGGTACGACTGGATCCCTAGGGTGCCATGATTGAGACCATGTGGTGCCCCCAAAGAGGTGCCCCCAGTCAGGCGAATGTTCGCAAACATGGTAGTTTCCTGGAATCCAGACTGTGGCTTGTGGCGTGGTAAACCTTTCATGCCGTGATTCATTTTCATAATACACATATAATATACAGCGTATATGTTTAAAAAACATATTTTGTCTTAAGATCATCTCCTGGAAGATACACTGCATACTCACCTGTGTGTCTTGGCAGCATCGTCGCTTCAGTGTTGAATGGGGGCTCCATTGCAGGGGCTGCTTAGTGACGAATGATCAAGCGATTCTCTCCCTGCTCTTCCAGCTTACTGTCTCAGAAATCGGGGGTCAGATTTTAAGGGGATCATGGCGCCATAGCTGGCGCCATAGCTTGGGCATTTGAAATTCATTCCCTGGGCCCAGTCGATGATGATGCTTTTTAAAGTACCTACAGTCGACCCGGAACTCATACCTCTGAAAATGGGTGCAAGTACCTGCTCTTGTGGTGTCATGTCCCACTTTCTAAGGTACTTTGAGGGTCCAGGTAGTAAACACTTTTCTGTAAAATAGTGTTTGTGTATTGTTCTTGTATTCTGACGGCTCTAGAGGTTGACTGGGACACCCAGTATAGGGATCCGACGCTCAACCCCACGGGCCCTAGCAGTTTTTAAGATCTGCCCGCTTGCGTGGACTGCCCCAAGTAGATCGGAGTAGATGGAGTAAAGAGGTCTGCGCAGGTCTATTCCATCCAGTGGTGAACATGCATTTCCCTCTAAAGATTTTCCTGGAAAATAGATCATGATAGATCATGTATACGACCAAATGCGTGAGAGCAGAACAAAACCTCTGAGGAACTAGGCTTAAATAAGTTTCAGCAACCTTGAAAAAACCTTGGGAGCTGGCCCAAAAGCTCGGAGGGACATCCCAAACATCAGCTGATGAGGGACATCCCCATGGGTCGTCCGGGCTCTACTCCAAGCGCCCCTTCGAGGAAATGCCTAGGAGACGTGCGCGAGGAGATGCCAGGGCGGCCGGAGTTTTTCAAGCTGGCTCCCAAGTAGTGGAAGCTGCTCTGGGAGAACATTCAAAGCAACATGCAAATAGTTTCAGGTAGCTACTTTGTTCCGAGCTACGAACAAAAGTAAGGTTGCTTCTACGTATGATGGAATCTGGAGAAAATGGAGGATGGGAGTGCAATATCAAAAAACAACAGGTCGTATTTTGGGATTGATTCATGTTCTATCTACTGCAGGATGCTTGTAAACCTGTGGTGACCGCTTGAACATTCAAATGTTCAGGACTGAAACAAAGCCACAAGTTCAAAAAGAAGGGAAATGGGACCTGCCAGCTGTGTTGAGTGAGTGTAACATTAGTTTGGTCGATCGGTGAATAAGGTAATGATATCGTTCTTATTGGATTTGCTTCAGGAACGGTTCACTCAAAGGGAAATGACAAATGACCCTTCACAAAACGAGGTAAAGGACAGGAGATGGACTTTGGATTCCGTCGATCGATTGGGGGTGGTTGTAAAATGGTTTAATATCCCTAGGGATCCAGTCGTACCGAATCTCAGGTTCGGTACGACTGGAGCCTCCTGGCACCTACATGTCAGAGTGTCGAACACATCACCGTACCTGAGGTACGGTACGAAAACGGATCCCTAGGGTATGGTCAATGTAGGTCAATCTTCCGATCCTATGGGGGCCAAGTCAATCTTCCGAATCCCGACCAAGCATGCAAAACCCAAACACGACCCATGGGTCTGCCATTATTTGCCGAGAAACGGCCAGGGGTGGTGCCAGGGGGTCAATGTAAGGCATATAAACAAAACTTCTTGGCGTCCCCAATGCCACCCGATCGGTTTCCAGCGTTTTGGAATGCAGGCAACAAGTTCTTTCAATCTTTAAAGGGTATCGGTATGGGGTTGGCCCCTATCGGTTTTGCAAGGCTTTGACTATTTCAGAAATACTTAAGGCGGCTCATGACTAAAGATGACTAAAGTACATGCACCCAAGTTTTGTCGGAGGGGCATATATATAACCCAACCACTCTATGACGCCCCTGGCACCACCCCTGGCCGTTTCTCGGCAGTGCTATGGCACAAACAGGTCGTGGTTGGGAAAGATCGATTGTCACCTCACCTACACCCTGCACCTCCAGTCGTACCTCCTCAGGTTCGGTATCACTGGACCCGACCCTGGCACCCACCCCAGTCCCGAACCTCAGAAGGAACGACCGGAGGCCGGACAGTGATCCAAGAGGCGACGTCCGGACAGACGCTGGGTCCGCTGCCGATGCGACGGGCGCTGGGTCCGCCGTTCGCCCACGGATGCCTCGCTTTGACCCCAAAAAGCCGAGGCGCGATACATCTTATCAGAGCCGAAGTAGATCATGCTGTAGTACCTCAGGTTGTTTCGGAGTCGCTGTGATTGTTGGAAGTCACCACCCCGAGCACCATCCTACACCACAAATATGTATACATTGAGTCTCCAATGACCCTTTTAAATTTGCTGTTCCAAGAAAAAGAGGTTTTCCAGCAAAACATCCTCATCTCTGAAAACGCATTTTTTCCACAAAAACGCAAAAAAATTAGACCCAAAACAAAAACGCATTGAAAAAGGTCTTTGGAGACTCAAGGTATATATATATATACTTCGATGCACGTTTCTATATATGGGTGTAGAACCTGTCCACCGCAATAGCAAAATGATGCTAACATTGATAGGCTTGCCCTATTGAACTGAGTGCTTTGGCCCCTTTTGCAACCACTGGTCCATTGTCAGGCCATCTGGGCCCCTTCTTCCACCTCATCACGACAGGTTCACGACCTGCCCTGCGACCCACGGCCGAAACACCGGCATGACATCCTGGGACCCATGGGGCCTCTCTTTGGGATCCCATTGGGATGATTTTAAGATCCCTAGGGATCTCAGAAGGTGCTTGGAGACTATGTAGGTTTTGAGGCTGCAGTCGTACCTTCTGAGAAGGTACTTGGATCCCTAGGGGATATGTTAAGATCTTTTAAATGGTCAATGTATGTAACACTGTAGGTAAACTTGTAGGTACATCTGCCAGTTCCCTGGATCCTGTGGGGTTTGTGTTGCTCTAAAGGTCGCTGTTTGGACCATGCGACACAGCCGAAGTTAAAGGTTGTAGGTGTCTTTCTCAGGCGCAGTCGGGCATGCCGTGGGCCACATGCTTTGGTGCCTTATGCCCATCATTTTGTGAACATGCTGCATACGTCGATGAGTCTTGGGTCGACGCTTGCAGCTCAAGAGCTGGAAATGGGGAAAATCCAAGGTTGACCTCATCCCACCCCTTTCACCTGCAAAACCACCGAACTGTGCTCACCGTTTTGATCCTCTTTTGTCCACCTCTTCCAGCTCCCAGCTTGTCCTGCAACAAAAACCACTCCATCCGTGCCCTTCCGCTTTATGGGAATATGTGCCGATCAGGCCAGGGGTGCTTTGAGGGGTCAATGTAGGTACTCTAGGTCTCTTGGCCCATCTCCTCAAGTTCGGTATGACAGGACCCCCCTAGCACCCCACCCCAACCATTTTCTCAGGAGGTACGCCAGCCCTAGGCCTCCTAGTACCTTCTGAGAAGGTGAGGTGGGTGCCAGGTCCAGTTATACCGAACTTGAGGAGGTAGGACTGGAGGTGTAGGTCAGGAACCCCTATAGTACCTACATATTCCAGTCCCGATGGTCGAAACGGGCTCTCTGCGTCGAACTCTTGCGGCCAGAGGCGCCACACGGCGGCCGCTTGGATGGGCCCTCCCGAGATGAATTCCCAGGCCTTTTCGCCGGTCAAATCCTCGGGACGTTTCGTCCCGCGGACGTCAAAGCCGGCGGATGGGCCCTCCCTTTCAGCCCAGCCCCCCCAGGACGTTCGTGGACGTGATGATGTGGAGACACTCCCCGGACGTTCGGGGTTGATGTGGCGCCATGGCGCCCTGCACTTCCAACCTGAACGTCCGGACCCTGAACGTTTGGGTGCTTTGTTGGACGAGCGACCTGGAGCTGCTCAATAAGAAGACCAGAACGGAGACCAGCAAGTTGTATTGATCTTACGACATGAACTAAGAAGTATAGCCTTGGTGGGTTTCTGTTGTGTGTTCCGATATGTTCCGATGTGCCCGTTGCGACCTTTCGATATGATTGCAGCAATGTACAATGTCCATCCCTGAGAGTGAAACACCCATAATAGTAAATCGAACAGTCTTAAGAATTATAGCTGATACAATACCAGCACCCTCCGACAGGTCACCAATTGAGACCTGTTAGGGTCCAACAACCCTCAACTAACAGCCTGTTGGAGGGTGCTGGTAGGGAAGTTCCTTCAGTGGGGAAAAATAGTCTTTCGACTTCAAGGCGGGTGTAATTCCAAAGCTATCAGACCCCCCCCTCATTCCGACCACCCTGTTTCCACAAGAAACGTTCCCTACGGAACGTCCAGTCTGACCCAACAAAACGCGGTCCCTTACCTCCTTGAGTAGTGTTTGTTGTATGCCCAAACGCTCCAAACGGCCCTTGGTCCCTCAAAATCTAGGGATTTGAGACCCCGCGACCCCTCCATATGAGGGTCCGACCTCTCCATATGAGGATCCATGAGCGTCTGGGTGACCAACTTTCGTCTGACCAACTCCAGTGTGCACCCCAACCGCTCAGTCCACCAAAACCATACATTGACCCCCCTGGCACCACCCCTGGCCGAGGCAAACAGGACCGTCCCATGGGTTGTTTTACTCAGGATCTTCGACCACCAAACCAGGTCAGAAACGCAAACTCTTTGTATCTCTTTGTCGTGGTGCAACCCCGGAGTCGAATTCATGCAGTTTTTGAGGTCCCTTCCCCAACAATCCATGGGACAGGAATATTATATACATGGATACATATATGGATGAGTGACTTTAAGATGTTTGAAGGGTCAGCAAAGGTAAATATTCCAGGCATGGATAGTGTGGTCTACTCTTCTGTGCTGCGGGGAAGAACTGGAGACCGCCAAACTTGGTCCCGCAACCTCTGACCCTATCGCTGTGGCCCCCTCCGAATCGCAGCAAAAAACTAGTTTGGTTGTGTACGAAGCCATTGACTTATACCCAGCAAACGAACAACAATGGAGCTCTAGACTCATACTTTTACCAACCACCTAGCTCCTTGACTCCAAAAACGCCGCTGGAAAGCCCTAGAGCTCCATCCTATGGATCCACAGGACTCCTCGAGATCCTCTCCTTGACCAACTCATGTGGTTTGAGTGTCATACCGAAACCCGGGCACCGAGTGGCGTCCTGGTGGATCCCAAGGTGCCCTACACCCCCGATCCCTTCCACCGTAGTCTCCTAAGGCGGTAGCCGGTATACGACCGGAAGCTTCGGCCCGTGCACCGGGTGGCACCGGATCGCGCGCGCGCCATCGAATTCCGCGCCGAGAAGCGCTCAGGGCATAGAGGATTCCTTGTTCCTCAATACGCCGCGGTGCTGCACGGACGCTGCGAACGGAAGAAGCGCTCCGCGCTGCATGGAAGCAGCGCCGCTGCCGCGCTGCAGCGTTGGAACATCGGATCCAGACCAAACGAATGGGAATGGAATAGTTACAATTGGGGTAATTTGGACATTTGGATGGGATAAATGTAACTGTTCCAGTCCCCTTCGTCGGGTCTGGGACCTATCCCTACCCCTATGGATGCAATTAAAGAGAATTGGGTTCACCGACCATGTCGTACCCAACCTGGCAGTGCCGGTTTGGTCGGAACCTCTGCAGCGGCTTGGAGGAGCTGGGTGCTCTCTTGGCGTCGAAATGCTTCGTTTCACGGTGTTTTTGGATGGAGGTGTATGACCAGCATGGGGCGGTTGTTAGGGCCTCCGAAAGTCTCAATTGGTGACCTGTCACTGTTGGAGGGTGCTGGTTGTTGCATGTTTGCATCAATCCTGGGGTTTCTAAACCGCAATCAAATGCTGGCAATCGTCACTCTGGACAAAAGACTGGCGAGGTAGAAACGAAAAAGAACATGTGTTTCTTGTTTAAATGATTTGTGAATAGTTTTTTTCTTTATGCTAACGGTTCTTTTTTTATGCTGGATTTGGGTGGGTTCTTTTTTTTATGCTAACGGTCTTTATTTTTATGCTGAGGGTTTTTTATTTTTATGCTGAGGGTTCTTATTTTTATGCTGAGGGTTTTTATTTTTATGCTAACGAATGTAATTGTCGCGGGGCTTTATTGGAAAATGTAATTGTCGCGGGGCTTTAGTGGAGAATGTAATTGTCGCGGGGCTTAGTGAAGAATGCAATTGTCGCGGGGCTTTATTGGAAGGGCGGCGGCTCATCTGCGCACACACATTTTGTTAGCACTTGCGCCTCATCTGCGCACACAGATTTGACTCATGCGCACACACAGTCCATCGGGGAGACTCAAGTGCGCACACAGGCCCTTTCCCGCATGTTTGCTCACTTACAAGGGTCGTCAAGATGGAATGGCCACTTCCTCCTCTAAATTTTACCCCTCCAGTGGCTCACCAAAGGGTGAGTCAACTTGGAATGACCACTTCCTTCTC